ATAGTCTGTGTTTCTCCATCTGCCCCATCCTTGGGGAAAAAGCAAGGAGGATGGGGGAGGGGACAAAGAGAGATAAGTCTCTATGTGAAACAAAAGAAAAAAAAATAGTTGCAAAAACCTCAAGGGTGTGTTTAGTATGCTTTGTGAGCAGAAACCTTGTTCGACAGTCTCAATGGTAATGAAACCTTATTGGCGAGCAGAACCACTATCTATATCTAAAGATGAATGGACTGAATTAGTTATTGCCTCGCGGGAGGTTAAAAGAGAAGTCTCACCTCGAATACAAGCGACTCCGAGAAGACACACGAGCACGGTTCCCAGGTACTGACTCACTGGAACCAGCTTACTGCTGCAGATGTAGCCTGAGAACGAGCAGCGGCACACGCAGACAAGAGGCTAAACATCGAGCACCAATAAAACGATGAACAGTCTGACAACTAGCCTTCAGCCATGTGCATAAATCAATTTTAGAAGCTCAATAGTACATTAAGGAGTGACACTCAACCTTGAGCAATTAATTTCTAGTGATGCTGAGCCTCGCCAGATGAGTCAGTTGATTACGTTTGTATTAATTCCACTTGTAGGACATCAGCCACGTACAAGGACACATCAATTAATAGTTTTTAGTCCCAGGAGGAGGATTTGTATTAAGAAAGAAAACATTTTTGGACAGTTACCTAAATGGCCAGAGAGGAAAACGTTATATATATGTTTTCCTATATATACGTGTATGTATGTTTATACATACATACACATGTATGTATAAACATACATGTGTCTGTATGTTTATACATACACAAACAGGTAATTACCCAGAGGGAAGCAAAGTAACCTTCAGCCTTAGGCTGTTTCCACAAAGGAGAAACTGAGTGAAGAATACAGCAAGGACACTGATATCATCTGGTTAATTCAAAAATTATAAAACAGACATACTGATTACCCAGAAATTCATTTGGCAAATACAAATGATTATTAAAAACTTAGCAGATCGTTTCATGAATGCGTTTATTTATTCACAAGCAAAAATGGAAAATGCGTCCATTAAACCACAACTGCCCAATCATTTGCCTCATGATAATTATTTTTACTTTATTAATTTGATGAAAACCACATTTTAATGCAAAAAAAATAAAAATAAAAAAACATCTACGGTTTATAAATTCTAAAATTTAAAGGAACAAAGCTTCAAGTTTAACCACTTTGAAACTAATGAGGTAAACACTGTGAAGTTTGGTGAAAATGATAAGAACCGGATTTTGACTGATTTCAGTTACAAACAAACATCTATGCTGTGGATTTATTTATTTTTATTGCCTCACACTCTCCCCTCCATCTCTCATTTCCTTGATCAGGTTTTGTGAATGCAAACTAATCAGCTGAATGAAACAATAGCTTCATATCCGTCGGTATATCTAACAATCAGATTGCAAACATCCATGGTTCTTGCAACCTCTGTGTCGGTAAACGGAAATCATTGCTCACTCACATAAATATTATCCACTAATTTAATACTTTTTCTTTCTTTGAGACCTTTTTTAGCAATCATGAATTTTCTGTTAAGATATTTTAATAACTTCTGTATTGGTGCGTTTTTCTTTTTTACCATGTGATTTTATTTTGCCCTCATTACAAATGGGTGCGGCTGGTTTCCTGGTTCCAGGTGGTTTTTTTTTTTAGGTACACGGTTTACTGGGTGGTAAAGAGAAGTTGTGTGTTTCTATTCCTGCAATCGTTTAGTTTCTGTAAAGCATGTTGTGCTAAATTTTTCTCTACGTGAAAAGCGATACAAAAATATTGACTGAATGATTGATGAACATTCCTCTGACAATTGATCATAATTACTCGACATCAAAAAGTTCATATTTTTATTTTCTGTACAACTTGGCTATTAGATTCTTGGCTAATGTTTTGATGTTGCTAACAGCTAAAAATTGTCCAGCTGATATTTTTAGACAAATTAAGACATTTGAAATCCTGCATATTAAGACGCAGTACTTCCACTCTAAGTAATTTAAATAGAAAACAAGTTCCCCAACATTTTTCAATTATCATTTTATCTGTTAGGTTTTCGGCCTGTAAACAAACTGAAAACAGATTTACTGACATAATAATACGACAAATATTAAATTTATGTGAATGCAACACAAAGAAATCTGAAGAATAGTAAAAGCAGAGATTATGTAGTGTTTCATTGTCACTTTATATATCATTATATTGACATTATTTTCAGACAAAAGCCCCCCTATATTACAGGTCAGCTGTAGTTCATTAATCCTACCTTTTCTGTACAGATAGCAGAGGAGAAGAGGGGAGCTGTAGTAGGATATGGACCATATTGCTGAAGCCTGGAGGGCATAAAGTATAATCACACTTTAATTTAATAATTTTATGCTTTCTCCAAGAAGATGAAGCAGAATATTATACTGACCCATCCAAGAATGTTGTCTGTGTGTTTTTCCAGACTTCTGGGTTGGTAGTTCCATGCCTGAGAGAGTAGAGGAAGAAGCTAAATGAGCTAATGTTAGCATAGCTGGTAACGTTTGTACCCAATAAAATATATTATTTCCCCTCACACATGTATTTTACGTTGAATCAAATTCAACTGATAACGGTGCTACTTGTTGTTTAATTTCTTTCTGCGTTTATGTCGTTTGTTCCTCTCCGCGGTTTCAATCATGTTAATGTTAGCTAGCTAGATTAGCGTCATAAAATAGAAAGGAACAACAACATACAGTCACAAAATCAAGTTAGACCGGATGTTACTATGGTGTTGAAACAGAAAACCAGTTGTTGGTTTTTTTAAAGACGAATAAAAGTACAGCTTTCACTCTCTGGTCGTTCATTCATCCCCAACTATCAACTACGCGGAGCAATGACAGCAACAACAGCAACGATTTAAATGAATAAAAGTCTGGATCTGCAGTCAGCGGCTGTAAAACGGTTCTGAACTCATCGTTTCCTACCCTCCTGGCAAACCTGCCCTCAGGTCGAGGCTGCTCCGGTGATCGGTGAATTCGTTGTAGATGAGGCCCAAAAACACAGCGGTACAACATCCAGGCTGCCATTCTTCCGCCGCGGTGGCTACGGCAGCCGGCACTGACCATAAAAATGAAAGAAGTGGCTAGTTCGACGATTAAAAACAATGAAACCCAACCACATTAACAAGACATTTTTATTCACTACGCTCTATATTTATAAAGAACCCGTGTATGTTTCTAAATATTCTAATAAAAAAATAACGCTGAAAAGGAATAAAAAACAAACAAGAATATTTGTTTTTCTAAAAGTAAAAAGTATAAAATAAAAAGTATTGTAATTTCCAAAAATGGCTTGAGTGGATTGTTTTCAATATCAGACTAATTCAAATTTAAAATTAGCATTTTTTTATTTTTGGCTCAAGACACATAACATTAAACTTTAGCCTAGATTAAGGTTGTGTATCATCAGGAATTAATTTTTACGTGTTTATCACTACTTCTCAGCACGTATTTGACCTCCATTCCCTACAAATCCCACCCTGGGACCTCGGGGCTTCCAGCCTGCTCTCTGTTCCTTTGCTGACAAAACTTTTAAGACCTCTTCAGGAATACTCTCACCGCTGACATTTTAATATGTTATCCCTGGATGAAATTAACATTATTTGTAGCAGGCCCCCAGCCCCCAAATGAAGGATTGTGGCTTTACTGATGAACAGTGAGGTTTATTGGAAGTAAGCTCTGCATTTCAGAGCTGTATGTATAAACACACACACAAAAGAAGGTGTAAGCTACAAACCACGCTCTCACAACCGTAACGTCTGTAACTAAAAATAACGTTCACCACTAAAAATATCAACTATTTCAAAAATACCTCAGTGTTTGATTACAATAAAAAAAATTCACAATTTCAACCATTCAATATTAGAAATATCCTTATTTACAAAATAAACATACCTTTTGACTTTATAAAGGGGGCCGATAATAACATACATTTAATGTTTTTACAACTTGTCGTTAAGCTGCCGTTCTATAACATATATAGCGGAAGTTGTAACAAAATAAAAGCCTACAATCAGAAACCGGAAAACAACCATATATTATACAAATAAAACGAAGTAAAGGTATCATGACTTAAAAAGGGTGATACAACAAATAAGGAGCTTAATTTTGTGTTATTTACATTACATATTCACGGGAACAGTTATATCTGACTCTTTATCCTCAATGTGAAGCGTCATGCTCTGAGTAGTTATGAATAAAAAAAACAAGTTTAAAACAACCGCAAGTTATTGTTTTCATTTGTTCTGTCCCTGCAATTTAAGGGTAAGGTTGAATCTTGAGGCCATTAATGGATACTTAATGGTTATTTTGGACCTGCAAGCAGCTGTAGAGTTAACTCGAATATTCAGGAAATGGTTAGATTTTTTTTCTTTTACAATTTGTTTTACTGTATGAAGTTATTTCAACTGGCAACATTATGTTAGGACTTTTAAGCCCAAAGTAATATTAAGTTCAGTTGAAGCCCAGATCCAATCACTATACAGATGGATAAACATTACTTTAAAAAAATTTAAAGGGTGTTAGTTTGGAAGAGCAAACTAACACCCTGCATGTGTAATCTGCCAAAAAAAACACAAAAAAAACAGAGTTGAAACTTTTCTGAAAGTGCTCGACATTTTTTTTTAAATTTAAAGATATTTAAATATGGTTGGGGAACTTTGCAAGTAAATTGTCACCAGTTTTCATTTTATTCCTATTTTAATACACTAGAAGAAATCGTTATTCTTACGGATAAGTTGGCAACTGTATTTATTTACTTTCTTTAACCCTTGACCTCTGTCATAAATTGGTCTGAAACCACAACACAGCCACAGATGGCTGATGATGCGTTTTCAATATGTATCAAAAATTAGTTTTGAAAGCACTTGGCCGCCATCTAGTGGCTGCAGTTGTGACCAATTATGCCTAATCTGCTGCTATATCTGCCGAATGAGTTATATTCTAATTAACAAAATCTTGCTGTTTGGCAGCAAAAATATGGTAAATTTATTTTGCATAAATATTTGTACATACATTTGAGCATTTGCTTGTTAAGCAACAATAATTATTGAAAATTTGAAAGCATTTCCTAAAACAGACAGCAATAATTATGAGTGCAAAATTAAACGTTTGCATCATAAAAAAATTAAATGAACAACAAAGTAATTAAATGATCAAGCATCACAATATGTTTTAATTAAAATAGGACAGCTGTATTTTTAAGCAGTTGTTTCATTTCACTCAGTAAGACAATCATAAAGATTCATTTTACACTCATGCAAATCAAATAAACTAAGACAGAGATCCACATTGCACACTGATAACACATTGCCTTTGTGATAAACATAAAGCATTATTTTTATTTGTAGCCTTTTCACTGGAAACGATAGCTTAGATTTTACAATGCAATATTAACCACCATCCATTCTGGAGAGGTTTGTGAGCTTCTATAACTTCTAAAGAGCGAAAGCTTGTAAAGGAAAACCTAAATAGCATTTCTGTGAAGCTCAAAAGTTTTCTTTAAGTCCCCAACTCTGACATTGAGTAGTTACTCCTGTTTATAAAAGGCCTTTTGCTGCAGCTGTGAAGAGAGAGGATGTGACAGCTGGATGGGGATGAGATGTGGGTAGGTGATCAGCCCTGACACTGCTCGTATCTGAAAACAAAGAACAAAGACAAACTCGCTCAAAAAAAAGAAAAAAAAAAACCCAGTCCTCCAATCTCTTTCATTCCCCCCCCCTTTAAACACAAACACAAGCAGCCCACGCAACAACAACACACAGGCGAAGGAGCGCTGCCTGTCAGCACATGGCGTGATATTATGCCACAGTGTCAGAGTGATGTTCAGGCCGGTCTGATTGGTGAGTGTGACGAGCGGTCCACAAACAACTCCACACACAGGTGATGCAAGATTTTTTCACTCACCGCTCCAGTTCCTTATAGACGTCATTGTCTCCTCTTGGCTTCAAATCCTTCCACAAAGGAAAAGAGAAAGGCGTGACAAGGGGACAAAGACACATTCTGAGGCCAGATTCATGTCCCTCTGGTGTGTAATGAGATTGATTTCTTAAAGCTAATAATGTAAGGAGGCTGCTGAAAGGTGACAGGTTTATATGAAAGAGTCCTGACAGATTGGAGGACTCCAAGTGTGAAGGAAGACGTATCTGCCGACAGCTTAGAGAGGGTGGAACTGGAAGAGTGTCAGGGACTTTTTTTTATGCATGTAATACAACTCCTCACATGTCCAGGTGCTGCTCAGTATAATGAATTCTCTTCAAAAGGTCAATTTGTTTAAGTAATATATATATGTGATATATATATATATATATATATATATATATATATATATATATTTTTTTTTTTAATACAGAAAGGTTATGTTATGGTCCTACACAATTATCTCCATCAAACAGCCATGATGTAAATATTATATCACAAAGATTCACTGTTAAAGAAGCTGGTAATACACAAAATGTGCCATCCACATATTACTGGAAAATTTAGTGGAAGGAAACGCTGTCTTAGAAAAAAATGTAAAAGCAAGAGATAACTTAATTAATTCCAGTAGTTCAATTCAAATGGTACGATTTCAATAACGATTTTACAGGAATACACACTCAGTACTTGGTCTGGGCTCTTCTTTGAATTCAATTAAATTTAGTTTTCTGTATAGAGGAAGCCCAGGGTCTTGTATGAATTGACTGCACCAATGCAGCATGGCATGGAGGTGATCAACCTTTGGTTCTGCTGAGATGTGTAGGAAGTCCAGGTTGCTTTAGTAGCAGCATTAGCATGTCTACATTCTTGGATCTGGTGTCTTCCTCTTCCAGGCCTCGGTGGCCGGTGTCCTGTAACGTTTAGTTGTATTCCTTGTCCAACACATGGCTGGTTTTTCTATGGGGGAATTTTTCTGCCATAAATCAAAAGCACACATTTTCAGTTTGAAAGCAGGATTTCATCTCTTTGTTCTCAAAACTTGTAATATTTGCACTCAAAACTTCTGCTCCCTTTCAAACATTCTTTGTGCTCTCTCGAATCTCTGTGCTCACGCTCTGGTTTGCTCTCTCTCGAATTATTTTCTGCTCTCTTTCAAAACAAAAAAGTACTGTCGCCTGACAAATGATAGTGTTCTGTCCAGGTTAACCTTGTTGCTTGTGCACACTTTTTCCGATTGTATTTTTACCTTCCACTCAGTTTTCCTTAAATATGCTTGAATACATAAATGAACAACCAAATTATGATTTTTTTCTTGCCCTCCTCATGAAGGGTGTCAATTACCCATGAATGTGTTGGTCATTACAGTATTTCTGAACTTTTTACTTGGTCATATGTTTTATTCCGGTGTTGAATTTGGGTCTTCCTGTATGTAATAGATCTATTTGAATGGAATTGCTGAAATAAATTAACTTGTCAATGCTTTTCTAATTTATTGAGATGTTGCACTGTGCTTGTGTGTAGTGGGGACGACTAATCAACTTACCATGTAGACTGAACTCTGGGGAGGAGCCTGTTGGGAAGGAGGAGAGAGCTGAAAACAGGTTTAATGAACAGCAAGCGATGAAAAGAGGGGGGAAATGGGAAAAGAGGAAAGAAAAGGATAAAAATTGCACTTCAGAGAGAACATGGCAAAGAGAAAGACGAAAGAATATAAGGAGTGAAATTCATCAGAGGGCGTTTAGTTCTTGAAAATGTCTGAATTCATCACCTGTCTGATATCCTCTGGATTCTCATAGATGTTCTCCGCTTCACCAGACTGGACAGACAGTGACTGCTCAATACCTGAGAGCAGAGAGAAGCGATAGAACGCACTCTCATGAAGTGGGGGCACATTCATTACAACGAGCCCAGAGGATGTCACGGCCCACATCACTCAGACGCAGGGGCCGGCAGGGGGCCCGGAGATGGACGGAGCAACGGAGAAGCTGTCAAGAAATAAATCGCCGGAAGACTCACCGTGATCAGAAATGTGTTTCTGTCTCCATAGCAACACGCCGACAGCTGCTGAAACCAGGGGCACCAGGAGTAATAAAGCAGAGAGGGAAGGGTGCAGGAAGGAGGGGGTGACACTCTCTGCAACAGAGGGGCGGAGGGGGGGGAGAGAGAGAGAGGAGGAGAAAAGGACAAAAACATGAACGTCTCAGAGCGACGCTAATGTAAAACTCACAGAACAGTGAGAGTGAATGCCCTCGAACTTATCTGTGTTTGCTTTCCACTCTGCTGCGCGGGTCAAGAGGGGGCAACCATTTTTTTGTTTTGTTTTTTTTTTCAAATTTGTTATGTGAACACTTTACAGTTGCGATTCCACCGCGAACGTGTTTCATCCATTTGCATCATGCTGCTGTCAGTCAGAGACAATGATTGCTGTGGAAGATGGCGAGGAAATCTGAGGCGCTCTTAGGCAAAGAGAGAGTAGCCTGTGGAAATCCTTTGCAGACATCGATCTGACACGCATCCAGTCTGGACCACAAAGCCTGACAATTTAAAACTCGCACGAAAGGACGGAGTGCGGAGGCGTCTCTCGGAGACCAGGTGTCAACAGAAGCTTTATTCCGCTTCCATACAGAGCGGAGTTTACAGCCTCTAATTACTCCATATCCTATTTCCAAAACATAAACATGATAAAAATCCAAATATTTCCTTCTGTTTTTTTTTCTTCTTCATTTCCTCCCACTTGATTTCTGCATCGAGCTGTTGCCTCCAGGCAAACAAACAAAACAAAACAAACAGCCAGGCCCATCAATGCAGCTTTGAAAAACAGGTGAGGTAAAGAGTGATCACCGCACACGTTACATAAGAACACTATTATCTTACTGTTGTACAATTCAAATTTCATGGGAAGAGTGCAGGTTTGTGAAGAAACCTGTTTGCATATTGAGGATGACATCAGTGTTGCAAAACAGAGCCACAGGGAAGCTGGATTGTTGCGCAGCTGTCTGCTCAGCGTTCATGGAGTACAAACCAATTAGATATCCGCCAGCCGTTCTGAAAGGACGTATAATAAATGCTAAATTGCTTTCGAGCAAGTCGTTTTCTCACTGCGCCCTTTGCAGTGGCTTAAAAAGTGTTCACGCGCCTTGAGCGGTTTTTAATCACTAACTTTAATGTGCTTTATTGGGATTTTATGTGATAGAACAACATAAAGTGGACCATATCTGTGAAGTGGAAGGGAAACATTAATTTCTCAGTTATAGAATCGGGGTTTTTCTGCAGGGCTCTTCTTGTTTGCAAAGTAGTCTCAGATGGACTTAGCAATTAAAGCAATACTTTGATTTAAAGGCAATCAGAGCATTGGGGGCTCCAGACACTCTAGACCAAATTTTAGATTTGTACATGTTGAAAAATGTCAAAAACCATGTACTACTTTTTTTTGTGAAACAAACAGATAAAAATCACTCATATTTTGTTGCAATATCTTTAGCTTTGATTGCAGTATTCAGTCTCTGCAGGATTATTTTGGAAAGCTTCTGACGTGTTCAAATATTTATATCCATTCAGAGCTGAGTTAGCTCTGAATGATGATAGAAGAGTTTGAACGCTCTGCAAAACCTTATCCAGCACATCCTAAATGTTATCAATTGGGTTTAGGTCCAGACCGTGGCAGCTAGTCCATGTGTGAAAGGAAACCTAATGTTCCCTGAATCTTTCTTTCACAATTTGAGTCCAATTAATCCTGATGTTGTCATCTTGGAGAATTTGTAAAAGCCCATGACATCAACTAGGAAGAAATTCACTGTTTGAATAACCGAATCCTTAAGTGGATCTCCTTCTGTGAGGACATTACCGTGATGAACTTGGATTGGACCAACTCCCAAAGGTATGAGTGCATCACTCCGTCTGCGTTTCGTTTTACCCTGACGTGCCCATCCAACGGGAAGAGGGTAAATCTCAACCACACTCAAAGAGAGACTGGATTGTTCTCTTTTTCCAACTTAACATTTTCATGCATAGTGGTCACTACGGTGGACAGCTATCTAAAAGCCATTTTCTTGTGCTTCTTGTGGATTTCTGTGTTATAAATGTACACAGACCACTGAAGTGGACACTAATGCATCATAAAATACTCATCAACTACTGGCCATCAGCTGCAAATGGAATAAATTCTTTTTGTTAAATCCAATATGGCACACAGATAAAAAAAAAAAGCCTGCCAACCGACCCGGTCCCTCCTTCTACTGTAGACGACTCTTGCAGGTAAAAGAAATATTGTGACATCATATAACCACTAAAGAACAATACTACTGATGTATTTTTCAAATAACGACTTTGTATTTGGAGAAAATTACAATTGATCACCTAAAAAAAAAAATATTTTTTTTTTTTTACAAAAGCTTATTTCCTTTCTTTTTTATGCCTTAAAAAAATAAAAAAAAAATTGGAAAAAATCATGACACAAAGGATCATAATTCATGCGTGAAAAGGTTAAAAAAATGTATATTTATCACATATAATCAAATTAAGTTTGCCAAACTTACTTATATTTATTTAACATGGCTACTTAATAAACTTAATAACTTAATTTATTGAGTTATGGTTAGGTAAGTTGGATCACATGTTTTCCTTTTTCAGTGCATTGTTCCAGAAGTCTCAATTAACTTTGTGAAATCCAAGTGGTGACATTATTTTGGACACAAAAATGTCAAAACATTTGTGGGGTGTGAACGCTTCATTCAAGGCACTGCAGATAAAGTCCACTCACACATCAATTTGTCATTATTTTTGTTTGAATAACAAACTGACCCCTGAGTCTCACCTCAACCTCCGTGTCACAGCTTTTAACCGGCTTCAGAATGATCCATCAATTATGTGCTGCACGAGGTGTAATTGATTGGAGAATATGTGCAGAGGCTGCTAATGGAATACTGTACCGATAGCTGACCCCAGGACTGCCCAGCACGGCGCCCCAGGCCAGCCTTAATGCATGCATTATGTTAATGGAGCGCAGCGAAGTGAGGCCTATCTCGGTACATTTCTCAAGTCTCCTCCACGGCTCCTCTTTCTATCCTGCCGTCTCCGCGATTGGCATTTTTCTTTCCTCCTCGCCTGTTTCATCTCAAATGAGGTGGGGTGTGATTTATATCACTGTAATTGTAGAGTGGAGTGGCGCAGAGGATGCAGACCAAAGAACTGCTTGAATGCTTCGCAAAGGATGAGTAAATTGAGGATATGGAAGAAAATCTCTCACATTTGAAGTATTTTGTGTGCTGCAGAGCACAATGATTGCTTCAATTTTGTTTTCTTTGTACTGTGCCATCGGTAAAAGAAATTCTCTATTATTCGGTGCTGTTTTTTTAATCTTCTGAATTCACACTTTATTTTAGGTTTTGCGCATTAGATGTTCCCAAACAAATAAACCCAGCGCCTTGCAAGAATATTCACACCCTTTTGAGCTTTTTCATGTTTTCATTCGATGTATTTTATAGACTAAGCACAAAGGGATAAACTACCAGGGAAAAATATTACTGAAAATAGTGGACAACCCAGAAAAGTTCCTGACTTTAGGAACTTAGGCAACATAAAATCCCAAAAGACACCAAAGTTTTTGGATGCAGTGATAAAAAATGTTTTAACCAGTGATGAATGTTGAATGCTTTTCGAAGCACCAAAGTTTTCTTCCATCAAACAGCTATGTGAATTTTTTTTGTCCTTCTAGAAATTCTATTTATACACCAGTAAATGTCACCGCTTATTGTTACATTATTCATTATTACCCTCGGATTTTTATGCCACCTTGCACATTTGCAGTTTTTGTGCAACCTGACAGTTTAAACAGCGTTATGTAGGTCAAACAGCACTCAGCTTATTTGAACTTTCTTGCCTGCTCAGTCGAAATTTCCCATGACACAAACCTGAAATGTAACTCACTTCTACTTCGGAATAATTGCACCTATAGGAGATATACATTTTATAATGTCTTGTTACAGCTTTACCATTAGTGGGAGTCATAATCAGATCCGAGTCTCTTAGCCTAAGTGATGTTGAGGAATATGGAGAGGTAAATAGTCTGTGCTAAGGGATCCATTTAACTGTCACATCCTCCTGTGCTTCCCCACAGCCAAGCAATACAATAAGCCTGAATAATTTAGTTTTTGTGAGGAGATATGTCCCAAGGTCCTGTCTTATTATAGTCACATATTAACCGGGTAAGGGTAATGAAAAAAAAAAGCCTTCATATCTTTTATGTTTTATAGAAGAATCTGCACACAGAATTGTACAAAGTATTAGGAAATCATGTGGAAAGACTTAACCATGCAAGCCAAGAATATTATTTTGGATATGAGAATTTATGAGACTGAGAGAAGTTTAGGACTTTTCTTTAAAACTTCCTGTCTCGAGATTGTTTTTCTCTTTTTGCTTGTTTGTCGCACTTTAATGTAAAGATATTATCAGAAGGACAAAGATAACCAGAATATTTTTTTAAAAGCAGTTTTTGGTGTGGCTCATCCAGGAGTATTAATATAATTAATGTAAAAAGCTCCTGTGAAGTCAACTCGTCTGACAACATGAAGTAGACCAAAAAGCTTTTAGCTCTTTAAAGAGGTTCATTTTTCAAGTTGTTGAAATCTACAAAGCCTTGTGAACCACAGAGAGAACCATTATTCACAAGCACGAGGGGACCAGGGTGAATATTCCCAGGAGTGGCTGAACATCCCAAATGACTCCAAGAACTCACCAACGACTCATTCAGGATTTGACAAAAGAACCCAAAACAGTGTCTAAAGCAGTATGCGCCTCAGTTAAGGTCTGTGTGATCAATAAGACAGAGAGCCTGAGCAAAAGCTATTTTCATGGGAGAGCTCCAAGGCGAAAACCACAGCTGATCAAAAAGTATAATAAGAAACGCTTCTCATTTTGCAAAAAAAGTACAAATAAAATCTTCAAAATTTTGTGACAAAAGTGAAAGCCATGCATCTGATAGAAAATCCAACTCAGTCTTTCAGAAAAGCAGCAATCAATCGTGGTGGTGGTAGAGCGATGAGCTGCTTATCATCTTTTCTATAAATGATTAAAGTATAAAATCCTGCAGAAGAAAACCTGACCATCAGTTTTAAGTTTAAATTCAAGCGTACCTGGATGATACAGCAGGACAATGATCTAAAGCAAACCAGTGGGATTGAGTAGCTAAACAGAAACACAAAAGAGCTAAACTAAAATCAGTATCTCGGAGTGACCTAGTCAAAGTCCACACTTAATCTAGTTGAGATGCTGTGGCATGACCTTAAAGAGGCTGCTTGTGTTAAAAATGTGTCTGAATTAAAACAATTTGACAAAGACAAATGGGACAAAATTCCTTCATAGTTACGTAAAAATAAAATCAGTGTCAGTGGGAGATGTTCCCTCCCAGGGAGCGCAGTCAGTGATTCAGTTAAACAGTGTGATAATTTAAAAACAGCTCAGTTTACTCAGGTTATATCAGCATAAAATTAAAATGTTTTATGATCTCTGACATGACATTTAAGTCTGACCAAATAAAAAACTAAAAACCTGCAAGGGGGCAAATACTTTGTACATACTGTTAAAAAAACAACTACAAAATGAATAGAAAAAAATATAATTTAGTTTCAAAAATGGCAAAAGTTATACTGAATGTTATCATTATCTAAAATAATTATTTAATGAGTTATTTTGCAGGAAAAAAAAACATCTCCTCTTTCTTTCCAAAAGACATTTTAAGCAAAAAAAGAAGAAAAAAATGAATCATTTCTGTCAATAAATGACGTAGTTCATTACCTTAGGAAGGTGACTAAATGATATGCACACTTATAATACATACAAAACCCCAACATAGTTTCCAAAAACCTATTTTGTTTTATTAAAACATCTAATAAATGATACATTTTAAAGATCTGAAGGTGCGAGGCTTTAAATGGTTAATCTGCTGCATATCCAACCAACGTTATGCTCCATAAAACAGTTTTACCCCCTTTGACCCTGCGAGGTAATTTTAAAAAGTTTAACATATGGTATCTGTCAGAGGCATTCTGCTTTTCAAACAGCAGGATTTCTGGAGGATGAACTGACCTGAGGTTGTCTCTAATCCACAGCAGAACGCTTCATGAAGCACATATCCTAGAATTTTCCACACTCATGGTTCATTATCTCTGCAGACCTGACAGGAGGTCCACCAGGACTCTGTGATACTGATATAATACCCTTGATCTAAGAAAGATACTACATCAGAAAGCTGGAAAAAAAAACTTGCAAAGCATGCGCTCTCATCTCACCTGTTGGGGGCGCTGTGACAGCTTGAACTGCCTGGATGGTCTGGCCGTTTTTCAGCTGCAGGGAGCAGGTGTAATTCCCGGCTACATCAGGGGTGATGGGCAGCGGCAGGGTGGTGCTGATGCTGCCAGGGCCGCCGCTTGATATCTGCAGCCGCCGACTCTTATTGTCATGTTTCCACATCGCGCCCCGAATGTTGGAGCGCTCCGAGTACAGGCACAGCAGATTCAGCTTCGAGGGATAAAGGCTGGTTTTCACTGAAGGAGAGAGAGAAGAATGAGAGGAGATGGGAGAGGAAAGAGAAACCAGAAAGAAGGATGAGTTGGTGGGAAAAAACTGTCTGGAAGGAAGAGAAATGAGAAAGAGTTAAAATGTTTCTGTCTGAATATTTAAAAGGGCAAGGACGGAGAGAGGGAGTGATGATCGAAGGGGACCGTGATATGAGAAACACAGAACAATTCAGGGAAGGGTCAAAATAATATATATTCATTAAAGTGATTTACTGCTAATGCATTGGTTGACTGTGACTGATGCTTGGTGTCTCATCAAACTGTAATGAGAATCCATCTGGGCGTAATCAAGCCCCGCAGATCCCCACCTCACACACACAAGCCCAAAAAAACACACACTTCAGCCTTGATTAGTGTGATCAGCGTGGGCCACCCACAGCCTCGGTGGGAGGGCAGCAGGTATAATCACACATAATGATACTTCTAACGACGGAGGGGTAAAAATATATGCCTCACATGATTGGGGAGTGGGTGGAGGTGTGAACGTGTGCAACGGATGCAGATTTGTGAAGCGGGGTGACAGTGACAGTGACGGATCGACCGGTCATGTCTGGGCAGCTGTGATGGATGCCGGTGGGACTGTGATTAGTAAAGCCTTCCAAGGCCAGCATGACAGGCTGTTGTAAGAGTAGGAGTGCATGTTGGATTTGTGCATGTGTGGGTGCTCCTGCAAAGAAAGGGGAGGAAAACTCCCTCAGGCACTCTCATAAAAAATCAACAGGTGCTTAGCAGAATTTTTCTTGGTCTTTACGTTTATAAATTAGGCATATTTCTCTTTCCGGAGCAATATAGTTAATGTTTTCATTTAATAACGAGACACTCTGCTAATGGCTCCGGGAAACTCCCTCTTTATTTGTTTTCCTCATTCGGAGTCAGTGAATAAAGAGCTGAAACCAGTACAAATTTAATGTCTCACTCAATGACTCTTCAGCGGGGGCACATGATTGCCGAAACACCTCAGGAGACAGGTGCTAGAGGCTTGTCTCTCTAAACACTGACACATATTACCTCGGTGCTTAACAGCTCTGCACATTCTTCAGCCTTGCTGAATAGTTTAACATTTCTGCTTTCACATTCTTGCAGAAAGTCACTGAGTGGATAAATACAGGTGCTGTGAGACGCTTACGTAATCTGATCAGTGGAGATGAAGGTCACATAAATTTGGGACCTTTAACAGTTTCAGTGGGATTAAAAAGATTTGAGTTCATGGATCATTTACCCTCAGTAAGTTGAATGCAGACCGTTTTATAACCATCACCAAGCTGCTTGCATAATCCAGGCTGAACATTGCTTTTAAGCATAGTCCACCAGGTTTGTACAATACACAAGTACCAATGGAAGACAAACAGCTACACAGCATGATTCTGCCACCACCACGCTTGACAGTTGAAACTGTGTTCTTTGGTTTGAGTCCTCCAAGCATTGTTCTTGTCATGAAGGCCTGGTAGGTGAGTTTTTTAAGCACTCACTCCAGGCCAGAACCAGTTGTGGTGAGTGATGTCCATCTTTTTCCTGCTGTAGAATCCAGACATGTCCAGTTTTCTGTCATCTGACCCAACCAGTCACACGAAAGTAAAGAAATTGGTGTCAAGATGTTAAAGGGTAAACCAGAAACACCTGCTTTGATTCCCCACAAGGAAGCTGATTTTAGATTGCAATATACTGAGAGGGTACCAACAAATAGCAAAGTTTCTGCTTCAATATGAGCAAAGTCAAAGTCATCTGAAGTTTGTAGTTCCCTCAAGAAAATGCCTTCCAAATAAAAGCTTTATGTTCAGGGAAGTAAAAGATTGAACCATTTGTCCATGAAGAAATGAATGTTTGGGAGAGTCGAGATGAGGCATTCAAACCTGTGAATAATGTCCAGCATGGTGGGCGTAGCATTTTGCTATGGATTCAATTCACTGTCATGGTACTCATGCACTGCACAAAGCCCAAAGCAACAGATAAATCAGATGAGTAAGTTTGGAGAGGTTAAGGTGAGGTTATCCAATCTAAAAACAATGCACCAATTGTCTAGCTATAGGTGGTAGCATCATGCTGTGAAACTGTTTCACTGCCAGTGGTACTTGTGGTACTTGTGCATTGGATAAGATTAGCAAATGTTGCTTAAATGACAGGAAACCAACCAATTCTACCCTGATGAATGGTCAAATATCCAGGCAACAGGTTGTAGACGCTTAAGGGAAGCATGTGATTAATGGGTCATTTACTGAGGGATCTATAAATAAATATCAATGGGGTTGCATGCATAATTTTCTCCATGCATAATATAGCTGTTACAACTATAACTATGCGCTTTACATCAGAATCAAGGAGAACTGACCTGTATAAATCCCTGACTCTGTATTTGCCATGTAATTATCAAACATACTCTGTCGAATGAGGCCAGCTTAAGGAGGTGAGATGCTTTACCATATAAAAGACTGATCTGAATAAAATTTAAACTACATCCCACGAGATCTCTGCTGCCATTGTTCTATTGTTCCTCCAACTGCTGACAAAGACTTCCCTCATAATTTATGGCTTGCCAGTCACATTTTTAAAGGAACAATGAGATGAGAAAGAGCTTTTAGAGACAGCAGATTCTTGTTGAAAACTCACTGTGGTCCCAGTTTCCTTTGTTTCCTTGAATATTTCCACAACCGACGTAAAGCATTATGTTTTACGTCGTTACATTTATGTAGAAACTACAGAAGATTTCAGCGTTTCTGTGACTAATGATGTGGCAACCTGCAGAAGTCCTTGCTTTATGCTTCATGAGCTTGAGTTTGTAAACCGTCATCAACTTCTTCTGACACCATTATTTTATAATTTAGCTTCCCCTGAGGCAAAGAGTCATCATTATTTCACAAAACTAATGTTTTCATTCTTTTATATTTATCACTCACTTTTTCGTTGACTCAGACCAACAGAACAACAAAAAGAAAAGGTCTTGGTTTGATCTGTAAAACTTTAAAATCTTCACTAAACTCGCAGGGTGAAGTTTTGCTGAGAGGTTCTGGATGAAAATATTTGACACCAATTTACTCATCATGAAACTTTAAATCAAAAACCTTGAGCACCTTCAGCCTTTCTTCCTCCTGTGATAAGAAAGATTTTCAGAATATTTTTGGTTTGATTTGAATGAAGCACTGATGAATTTGAAAAATAAGTAATTTGAGGATATTTAATTAAAGAGCAAAGGAATATTTAATAACAATGGCTACAAATGGAGTGCAACGCAGAGATTTTATATATTATATTATGTTGCGTCACATCACGTTACATCACATTATATTACATTATATTATACATTCATACCTACGCTTTATAAATATGTATTTGTACTGTGTTTTACATCAGAAGATTACTTAAGGACGTCATAAGTGATATATAAAGAAATAATTGTAAGAAAGTGAGGCAGGTTTAAATACAGCATACAGTGTTTTTGAGATTTTAATATTTTTGCATTCTTCCCCAGTTATTCTGTACATGAATGTTTAGGAATTTTGAAAAAAAAATTCTGATTAAGAAATGAGAACAATTTTGCATAAACTCACCAGCAATTTCCATATACTTATTTATTTATTTTTATAATATTCTTTCTTTCATATCTATATATTATTAGACTGAAAATTCGTTTCCACAAAGGTTGCAGGATTTATTCTTTGTTTATTTCTTCATCTAAGATACAAATTGATGGCAAGAATCATGCGAGAGAAATTGATTTAAAGTGCACAAATTACATTAAAGCATGGCTGTTTGTCTGGTAATAGAAAAGAAGAATAAAATGATGTGGGTAATGACTTGATCAGTGATGTAATTGAACAAATGCCATGAGAACAAATGATCAGACTTTAAGAACTAATTGAATAATATTACTCGGTTGATGAGGCTGCTTGCAGCTGATTTTGGGTTTAATTTGTGAAGAATTGTTTGAGCAGAGATGTCTGGATGCATGCTGTTATTTTTATAGTAAAGGAAGGGGCAGGTTGTGTAAGTTACTTATTGTTTTTTACTGGTGGGCTGTGGATGATTGTTTTGAAATGTTTGTGCACTGAAGCGAATAAATGAATGAATGAATGAATGAATGAATGACACGGTTCTATATGTTCTTACTTGCAATGAAAGAAAATTATTGACGTTGATGCTTAAAATTCAACTCAGTGCTTTTTGTTTATGAACCAGATGAAACCAGAACTTATGGAGGAATACAAATAAAGTTCTCCAGCAGATAACAAATCACAAGTTTCCATGTCTCTGCTGATGAAAAGTGACTCCACAGCATAATACAGCCTCCACCATGTTTCACCATGTTTTCAAGGTGATGTGTTAGTTTTCCACCGCAGGCTCTAGATATTTTTTTGTATGGGTCACAATCAGAGACACAAACTATAGAAAAGTGGCACACTTAAATTGCAATTTCATCTAAATGCACTGCAGTCTTAGATTACAATTAATAGCAGGCTGAGATTTGAATAACAAAACTATCTATTTACCAAACACACATGGATCTGTTTGGCATGTAGGGCACAGGCTAACTGTTCCTGTTTAGCTTAGCATAGTTTAACAGAACACAACTCCATTTTTAGTGCCATTATGCTGACTCTATTCAACTTACTTATCAACTTAAAATGAAAATTATCGAGCCATTATAGACTACAAATTGCAAACAATTGCTTAATTACTTCCTTTTCTCCTTTATGAAAAGTTTTTTGGTGCAGTAGTCTGAGGCTGCTTTTTCTTCTTATCCGTCAATCTGCCGATGGGACTTTAGCCATTTGGCAAAACTCTCATGTATTTACATGTAAATATGAGTTGAGTTCTGTTTTTCTAAAATAAAATTGAAACAGTCAACAACAACAATAATTATTAATGACAGTTGTAAAACAACAAACGGAGCATTTCTGTCATCTACTTACATGGAGAGTAGACAAAACGCGGATCTGTACAATATGCTATCAACAAGCTGATTGACAGCTCTGGTGGGCGGGGCCAGGCACAGTGACCAATCGGATTTCAGCCATCTCTGTGGCCACGCCCCTGGCTCAACAGTTTCCAACCGCTCTCCTCCTTACCTTTCAGTACGCTGAGTTTTGTCCTCTGGCTGAAAATGACGTCGTTGAGAGTCACTTCGCAAATGTAGAGGCCTCCATCTTTCAAATCAGGCGTGAGTAGGAAGGAGAAGCTCCCAGCCTGTGAGTCGTACGGCGGACCGGCTAGCCGGAGCTTGTTGCTGTGGGTTTTGGTGAGACCCCTCCAGCGGTCGTAGTCGTACACTATCTTTATCTTGCTGTAATCGTTCGTGTCTGGGGAAAGCCAGTGAAGCCGGACGTAGTCGCCCTGGCTGCTGGGACAGGCCAGGAGGACGGGTTTTAGAGCCTGAGTGGCAGTGGACATCTCATTTCCTGCAGGTAAAGGAATGGAAGCAGAGGCGAGAACATTACAGCACACAAAGACGCACTGATTAGCAATTCTGAGCAAAAAGATGATAACGGGGAGAGAGGTTAAGACAGGGAATAAACAGGATAGCCAAGGAGTAATGAAATGACGGGGGAAAAAATTTCTCCAGCAATTAGGATTAAGTTTTTATAGGCTGAGAGTCACCTCTGACCTTCAGCTCCACCTGATTAGCAGGCAGCTGACTCAGGACTTTCAGCCTACTTCTGTTGGAGTTACTTACCGTGTGAAATATTGGTGAACGAGGCCACTTTGCTGGCTGAGGAGAGAAGAGCAATAAAGGAAAGGAGAGGAACAAATGATGAATAATATATAAACGTAGCAGCTCTAATATTCACAGTAGAACAAGCTGAAATCTAGTGTAATCCACAGGATGCTTTTGAATCCCGAAGCCCTTTTATTGAAGTAAATACTTTGAAAAACTTCAGGTCCAGGATTCCTAAATAAATAATGCTTCTGCTCCTGTAGATTCCGGGTTTGATGCTTATCTTCAATGAAAGAAACAACAATCGTGTGATTTTCCTCAGTGCTTCTGCTCACCGTCGACGCTCACGTCCACACGCACAGCCAGCACGCCGCTGGAGCTATCCCGGGGGTAAACCGTACAGGTGTAAGTCCCTCCGTCGGCGTTCTGGACCTGCGGCACTTTAGTCACTGTGCCTGAGGTTTGCCACTTCTCTGTCTTCATGGGAAGGCCGCCAGGTGCCGTCCAGGTGATTTCAGAGACAGAAAAGACAGGAATGGCTTTGGCGAACAGCCGCAGGGTGCTGTACTGACGGACGGGCGGAGGGGGAAAGAAGCCAACTGCAGAGAGGGAAGGATACAGAAAGCTAACGTTAGAATAAAGCATGCTGACTTTTAATCCTTCTATTTATTTATTTGGTTCCATTTTACACTAAGGCTCCCCTTATAGGACTCAGCGTTCATCTGACTGAGATTAAACTGATCTGCATCTGAAAACGGGCAGAAATGCAGCTCTGTGGATTTACAGAAACCTGCAGCTGTAATCACACCAGAATGTGGCTCTTGAAAGTATTCACTCAGAGAGGCTGAACACAACGCCCGCTGCAATCTTATGATTTTTATCTGGAAAACATTTTGGAAACCATCTATCAATTTTCTTCCTCTTCACAACTACGTTGTGTTAGCCTTTCACATGAAATGCCTGTAAGTTTGAGGCTGCAATGGGACGAAATGCGACAATGTTCAAAGCGATCAATACTTTTGCAACAATGTAGTTACATAGAAAATTGTAGCCCTTGAAGCAAAGGGTGTTTGTACCTTCTTACTAATTTAAAAAAGTAAATAATCAGTTCTACACATATATTATAATAATAAGCAGGTTTTTTTTAAAAGAGAAAAGTGCAAACAAAACAAGATCTCGTTCTCTGAAATTCTCATTCCACTAAATGATGGTTGCTTTTGAATATTTGGAAAGAACTAAAAACGTTTTCCTAGTTGGAGGCTCGTCTTTGCTTCTATGTGATTTTACGTGAGTACTTTCAGTCAAAGACGAGTGATTTTACTTTTCCTCACGGACTAACACCAGTATGTGCTTTTTAAATTAGAAGACCTATGGTTTAGAAAAAAATATGCAGTTTCTATTGCTCACAGCTGAGTCATTTTTCTACCTGTGAGAACTGTCAAAAGGAAAATCCTCTCCTTCACTTTCCTCTCCTGTTTCTGGATGAGGCACGAGTAGAGTCCTGCGTCCGCCACTTCGGGTGAAACAACCAGCGAGAAATCCCCCGTGTTTCGAAAGTTGTCGTCAGTCAATCGCATGGATGGCTTCGAGGCACCTCCGGAAAACTTCTTCTTCTCGCTGGCTGAGAGAATCAGTTTCCATTCATCCGTGTCCACCAACTTCACCTTCCAGTTAATGGATATGTCGCCTCGGAGTCTGGCACCAGTACAGACCAAGGTGGCGGATGTGTTTTGTTCAACCATCACAACTTCATCCCACTCTGAGGAGGAGAGGGAAGAGTTTCACACAGAGAAACCCCAAACAAAACAAACAGTTATGGTGTTTTACCCTCTAAACACATTCATGAAACGTTCACATTTTTGTCTGATTACAACAGCCTCCTTTTGCATTTTGTTGAAAGCTCATTATAATGTAGCACATTGTCAAAAAGGAAGGGCACTTTGTTTCTGACGTTTTCTTATTGAAAATGTAGAAAATGTGGTTTGCATTTGTACTTCACCCCCGTTTACTTTCATATTCCTAAATAAAATCTAATGCAACTCATTCAGAATAATATGTTCATATAATTTCAGGTTTTTCATGCAAAATGCTCCGTGAAAGGAAAGCAACACTGCATTAGAAAGAAATTCAGTCTCTAAACGTTCGACAAGCGACAAACCGCCATACGTCTTCCAGCTGTGGCTGCAGCTATTGGTGGCTCAGGAACGTATTAACTCGGGGAATACATTCCTGATTCCAAATGCACACCACACTTTTCAGATGTAACATTGGCAAAAATAAAAAAAAACTGAGAACATTAACATTGTGTTAATCTAAAATCCTTATGAGATACTTTGAAGTATGTGTGAAATTGTCCTACAAAATCCATATTCAGGATAAAAATTGTACAAACTAGAAACTTGCTGAAGATAAAACAAGATTTTCGCCATTAAACTTCAAAATTAATCTAAAAGGTCACTCTCCCTTTTTCCTTTCATGTGTTGCTTGGCAATAAAACGCTGGCTGTACGAATCATTTTACACCAAGAACCTTCCAGTTTGTCAGTTAACATCACATTGAGTTGGTTAAAATTGAAATACATTAGAACATTCAAATTATTTTCTTTTATTTTTGCTCTTTTTCTATGACAGCTTTTTCACTGTGAGCATAAGAACATTCTTACATGACGATGTGGAATTTAAACAATAAACTGGACCCAATGAAATACAAATTCAAAAAGCCGCCCTTGAGCCCCGTCTGAGCTGAGCTCATGTAACTCATAAAAATGTTACAACATCGATCCGCTGGCATAAAGACGTGACCTCTCCATTCACGACACACCCATTCGATTTAACCAGTTCTGGTAAAACTTGTTTCAAGTTTGAAATATAAAACAAAAAAGTTTGAGAAGTCTTCAGAAACGTACCTCTGTGTGAGCTGACTGTGTAAGAAGAATAAACTGCAAGGCAAGAAGCGAGAATAAAGCAGAAAAACCCAGACTCCATCACACATTGGAAGAAAGAAGAAAGAAAAAGTCTCGCTGCAGCTGCTTTTTTCCAAAAGTGCGACCTTTCTTAGTTTCCCCTCAGAACACAGAGTATCTTTCAAGGTCCTGCAGTCAGACTGGGATCCCTGATTGACATGGCAGCAAGTTTACTGAGAATCTTATGGCTCCACAGGATACGGGGCATCTAACGCCGGCATAATCAGCAGGAAAAGAGCGTCATTGCTCCTGTCGGTTGTCTCTGTGTTGGAGACTGATAAAGCAACGTTGCAGTTATGTAAAAATGCAAACATTATAAACAGACAGATGGGCTGCATGGCATTTAGCCACATTTAAAAGAAAGTAAAGATGAAAAACAAAAATTTGGTGGCAGATTTGGAGATAATTGAATTTGAAGATGTTTTTAGCAAGCTGCACCATGACCTTGATGCTTTTAGGCCTTAGTGATAGAGTTTACTCACATTTGGTGGTTCGCACACCAAATATTTTCAACTGGCTGCAGGTCAGGACCCCCAGAAGACGATTTAAAAAAGCTTAATATTACGTTAATCATTCATCTTCTAACTCTGAAGAACGTTTAAGGTCAATCATTTCCAACCTTCTTCCACTAACAGCAAAACAGCCCCAGGTCGTACTGTGATCATCTTCAGTAATAGCTACAGTTCTCTTGGTGTTTCATTTCTTACCTTTATCCCCCAACTCAAAATTTCTCCTATCTGATTATTAAACATCCGTTTACATGGATGACTCCTTATTGTTAGGGGAGTTTCAAATTTGTGGTTCTTTTTCCTGTTCGTGGACATCTGAACTGGTGCATTGGCTGCAAAGATGCAAAAGGCAACAACTGATGAATGCAGTTTACAATATTTTATCCAAAAGTTAAAAAAAAATCAAAAGAAATCTGAAAAATTAGACAACTGTATCTGCAGATGGTAGTACAATTAAAATAGTGATGTGCAGATGGCAGTGCAGTGAAAGATGACATACAGATGGGAGTGTAATGATGACTGTCGGGAATGTACAATAATAAGTAACTGAGTTTTCTATTGGAGTCGACACGTCCATTAAAAATGCTTTCTGAAGAGTCTTTTATCTAAAATCACATTTGGAAGTGGAGCTAAGAGACTTGGATATGAGAGCAGACAAAAACTTTGCATATACAGTAGATTCATTCAAAAATTTTCACTCATCATCAGTATGAATATTCATTTTCAGCTTTTTATGGAGCACATGAACGCTCCTTTTTCAAGGGGGAATGGGTGTTATTTTTAAAACCAATTCAAACACACTCAGATTTATATAAACAGGATCAAACACATTCATACCTCCCCAATAATATTTGTATTCATACCTTTTAGCAGGTTGTAGAGAAGCCAGAAGCTCAACAATGTCATATCATAACCCTTATAGAGATGAAGTCATTACTGGTTTTAATGGTTGGTTACAGTGATAAAAGTCTGTATTGTTACTAATGCAGTTTTAAATTAAAGTCACATTATAGCCATATTTGATAACCTCAATGTCAAATATAAGTGGCGCATAAATGCGCTTAAATGTACGATTTTGACCATGTGTGGTCTAGAGAATATCTACAATAAATCCCAACTTGTGCACACAATTCTTGTTTTTAAAAGTCTGTAAAGTTGCATGATGTAAAATCCTTTCACCTTGAAAAGAGGAAATAGTTCAAAATCCTCATCAAAAACTCCAAACTGGTATGATGTTCATGCTGGCTATACATGCATGAAATCTTCACACATGAGCTGAATGCATGTGTGCAAAAATAACAGTTTCTTTTTCTATTTCAACTGCTTCATGTACAAATCATTTGCCTCCAATGAAGCATCTCCGGCAGACATTACAAGCTTTATATAGCAAAGATGTTCGTATAAACAACGAGTGCTAATGTAACCGATTCTGACATCTGCATGATCTCAGTTTACAATGTTTACAACACTGTGAAGCCTCAAAAGTCCTACAAAACTTTTGACCCTATCAGTGAGTTTGACAAAAGCCAAGAGGCATGTCATGAGTGTATCACAAAGCATGTGTGAAAGAGAGACGATAAGTGCAACAGAGAGTGAGAGGCTGAGAGATGAAAAAGCAAAGGCATAAAGAGTTTGGGCTGGTACGGGTACACAGCCGCCCCCTGGGCAACATGTCTTTACATCCCGTAAATGTCTTTAATTAAGCTAAAGGTGCTATCAGCTCCTCTGAGCACTATTAGAGATTTTTTCATAATTACCACTGGGGGTGTGGGGGCTGTATGGAGAGATTGAAAATGAAGGAAAGTAGATATGAATTGTGGGTGTATAATGACAGCGACAGAGACAAAAAAGGAAGAGCAGGAGGAAGGAATAACATCCGAGGAGGAGGAGTGCTGATGCAAAACGAGAAACAGAGGGCAAAGGAAAAGTGCGAGAGGTTGTTTGAGGGGACGAGTTTGACTTCAAAGGAGTCAGAGCGGGGTACTGATCCGGTGCCCCCTCCTCCTGCTCCTCCTATATGGGTAAATAATCACCATAAGCCTGGGTTCTGTCTAATGAATCCACCATCAATGAGCTAATATCTGTTAACTATGCGCTTCATTATCGCTGCCACAGACCCCCGGAGAGCATGAGGATGGAGGACGGCATGAACAGCAGGAGGAAGTGAAGGACGAATGGACAGGGGAAATTGAATGACACGGGTTGAAGGAGAGGAATGAAGGAAGTGCGGCTGAAGGGACAGAGAGGGGGTGCGTGGCGTACAGTAAAATGGGTGGTGGGAAAATAGAAAGTGTGAAGGTCAATTTGGTATGGGTATGAAAAATGGATGAATGTGAGGAGGAAAAGAAATGAAATCCTCCATTTGGTGGCCAACTCCTTTTTCTACCATGAATACATACAATTTAGCATAAGCAGTGGTGAAACGGGGAGTGTGGGGAGAGTTCTTTGCAAGCTGCAGTGCCAGAAGGATGCTGCAAATTTGATCATTCTCAAAGCAAAGTGTCTTTGCCAATTAAAACACACAACTGTTTGTCTGAATGACAGTTGCTTCACACTCCATGGGTGGGCGAGGAGAGCTGAGCAAACACAGTTCTAGCTCCTTCTTTTCACATGAGTCTATAGAAGTAGAAAATATCAACTCTAAATTGGTGTATTGGTGTGCAGAACATTAGGTGACCTCTGATTATTATCAGAGTCTTTTCAAATTTGCACCTCAGGAACACACTCTGGAAATAAGCTGCAGAGGAAGTGAGAAAAAGGAGCAGAACAGAGGGAGGCAGACAGAGCTTTTCAAACTGCAGGACTTACAGAGATGTAATTACATTGGCTGTAAAACACTTGGGTATAAGGATTAGACCTAAAACAGATAATGCTTTTGTCATGCTACACTACAAAAAAGGAATTTTGTGAGGTAATAAATATTAGGAGGAAAAATATTTTACGTTGTGAATAATTTGCTGGATAAGGTGTTCAATACTGACAAATTTGAAAATGAGTAAATTCGGAGGCTAATCCTACATAATTTAGACTAGCATCTAACAGCAGATGATGACTTAATTAAGTGTAAACTAATCTGATTCATCATGTGGTGCCCAATAAGCCAGCTATGTTTATTTTGGATTGAATAAGGAAAGAAAATATCAAATTAGTAAAAGTTTGTATCTAAATATTTTAGCGTGTATCTATCTTTAGCTAGTTCTGTGTAAGGTGCTAATGCTAAAGTAAATATGCTAGCAAGCGGTCGTTATTAACCCTGGATTGTTGCAAATCAATAGTCTATCTTAGCTGTGATTGTTTGGGGAAAATGTATATATCCCTCATTGTAAGGATTCATTTTAAAGTTTGGATTGAGCTTAAACTAGTTTCCCAACTAAGATTTAGTCAAACCTGCTAGCAAGATGAACTTCCTTTGGGGCAGGAGGCACTAAAAAACATCACACCTTGGCTGGGAACGTAAAGAAAAAGGTTGATATGCCAATGTTTTATGATATATTTAAAAATGAATACTCTGTTTTGACTAATTTAGCGACAGCACTAATACTAAGCTAAAATCTGCAAGGCTCATGCTAACGTCAACCTTGCTAGCAAGTTGTTCCTAACCCTGAAATGTTGCCAATGAACAGTTCATCTCAGTTGTAGTTGTCAGAAAAATTGTTTACATGCCACCTTGTTAATATAAATTTTTAATGTTTCTATCCAGCTCATAGTTTTCCAACAATTATATTGCTACAGTCAATCCCATTAGCAAGATGTACGTCCTGTGAGGCAGTTACTAGTGAACGTCACACTTCAACTGAGAATGTAATGGAAAAGGTTAACATGCCACCTTTACATAATACATTTACAAATGCATAACTCTGTTTTGACAAGCTTAGCAGCAGCACTAACGCTTAACTAAAACCTGCTAGGCTAATGCTAAAGCTAGCATGCTTTGACATTTGAAGCAGTATTTGTTAATAATGGATTTACTTGTGTTTAAACTACATTCTGCCTTGTAAGAATAGATTACATTTACATGTTTGAATTGGTTAAATCAAATTTAAAGATGAAGTTGAATAATCACTTGTCTTGAATTAAAGAAATTTATTTCCAAATCTTTCAGTTGTGAAACTCACACAATTTCAACGTAATATTAAGTAATTCAAATGAAAACAGTTGCACCAATTTTATCACTTAAATTTTAAGAGTCTCTTTCTAGTTACTAAGAAAATAAAACTCCTACTAAAAACAGCTATTTATAATTCATAACATTTACACTTGAAGTGTGTGATGATGGACATTTGGCAGTTGTATTTTTGAAGTAACTTGTCATCTTAATACACATTAAAAACTCTTCTGGTTGAAAAAGTTTCCACATTAGAGGAAGAATTTAAGTTTGCATCCAAGTTTAGCTAGTTTAGCGACGGCACTGATGGTAAATTCAAACATATCAGCAAGCTGAGCTTCTAAACCTGGAGACAGCTATTGCTGGTGAATGACACATCTCAGCTGCGGTTGTCACGGAAAGCTTTTCATGCCACCTTTGTAGAGACGGTTTAAAGATTTCTATTTCAATAACTTTGTTTCCTTGATCCAGAGGCTGTTGTCATTTTTTGCTTTCTTTAAAACATGGAGGACATTTCTTTTGCTGTCATGAAAGGTATTTATATTTATTAGTTATAATTCGACTGCTGAGGAGGATCCAGAGGAGGATTCTAGTAAAGAGGATCCATTATGTTCATAAATCGTATTCGTACACACTAATGACACAATCACAGTTTGACAGCTGTTTATGGTGTCAACTATTGTAAATCTGTAGCTATTAAATTTATATTTGGATAGATGATACTGGATTAAGAATTTTCAAATAGATGCTGTTATACAGGTACATATTCCATACAACTGACAAAATCAAAGATTTAGTTTTCAGAAATGTAGACCTCCGAGAATGGGATTTCGATAAAATATTACTGTCACGTATATTCTAACAATCGAGGATAAATAGGATTACTTGACAGTCGTCTGGTAGACATACTCCACAAGGACGTTCTGTCACAAAAGATCATTGCTAATGGAGCAGGCTATTCAGAGAGTGCTTAAAAATCAAAAGTTTAGTGGAGGAAAACAGTAGGTGGTGCACAACCCAACGGACTCAGCATTAGGGGAACAACGGGAGAGACCCACTCCACCATTCAGGCTTCTTTAGATCTGGAGTGATGCTTCTACAATCAGTGAAGATTTAGAATGTCATCTCCTGGAGTTGGTCCAGTTTTATCAAGTCCAAAGTCAGTGGAGCTGTCATCAAGGTGCTGATTTCATTTTCCAGCGGAACTTGCAAAATTACCAATACCTGTTTCAATGCCAGTGGTGTCAATGAACTTGATTGGCCAGAGAATCAACACTGTCAAGAGGAAGATGAGAAACAGGCTGGTCATCTCCATGCCACGCCGCACTGATGAAGTAATTCATATAAAAGCAGCGGTGACCATGTATTTTTATTACTAGCAAACTGTAATAATCAAAATTTACGGAAAACCCCTGCAGATTTTATTTAAATTTGTGACACAAAAAGATATTTCAATGACATAATTTATTGAAATGTACTTTTAGTACAGAAATTAAATTGATTAAAAGTACATCAATTTAACTTCTGATTTGGTTAAACTAGAACAGTTTGTTTTGTCATTGTGAAGTCTGCAAATTGATGCAAAAAGAGAAAGAATAATTAGTTTTCTTTTGATTTGATTTTTCTTTTTTTTACTGCTGCTGGATTTGTGTCTCCCAGATTCGTGGATGTTTATAGATTTAAGTTTTCCTCAGCTGAAATCAGCGGGGCAAATTGGTGTCTGTGTGAAGAAACGAGCAGCAGGGGGCGCAAGAATCATCTGTTTCAACGGGCCTCCACATCAAAGAATTGAATAAAAGTCAAAGTCCTTTCTGCAAGGGATAGATGTGTTGTTGTTGGTTTTTTTTTCTTGTTTTTTTCTTTTTTTTGCTGTTTGATTACAGTTATATAAATTACATTCAAGGGTAAATGAAGGTTGGTTAAAAAGTAACCTGTATGGAATAAAAACGACAACATCGATCTGATAAAAAGATTTAAATTAGCGAGAGATATATTGATTTTCCAATTTGTTCTTGTTGTGTTGACTTCTTTCTCATCAGATGTGCGCGGAACAGATTGCAAAGCCCCCATGAGGCCAATCTAAACCAAATTTAGCCGAATAAATGAATGCAACTCCACTTGGTTTTGAACACCTGCTGATCAGTTTAGGTGCCAATGCAGGTGGAAGCGGTGTCATCCAAGTTTACGGAGGGGGAGAAATGCTTGTGGCAATTTCAACAAGTTCCCTTGCGCCTCCCTTTTGAATTTGATCCTGCGGTCACTGGGACCTAAATTTTTTTTTTTTTTTTTTTTTCGTACTGATGGCTGTGACGCCTCTCTGATGACATCACCCAGTCAGTCCCACATACACACGCACTCCGCGGTGCGCTCTGTACTAGTTGCAGAAGCTGAGACGCGAAGAAGCACCTCATTACATCCTGAGCGCCAGCTGCTGCTGCTGTGAGGGGAAATATTCACCTGTGACGAACTCACAAGGATTTTAAAAATTCATTTCAGCCCAGAGAAAAGGGAGCCTCTCCAGACGACTGCCATCTAATTAAAAGTTTTATTTTTTATTTGACTAAGACTTTACGTCGACATTAAGTGTTTTCTAAAGGTGTTGCGGTTGTTTTGAATTTATTCCGGAGAGACTGTGCGCTTCTACGGAGGATCATAATGGCGAGGCATGACGCCCGAAATGTGCCCGCAAGAATGATCGGGTTGCTCTTCTTTGCGGCGTCGATACTCCTCCGACACGGTAAGAAACTATCCGTTTAAAAAAAAAAAAAAAGCTTTCTGTTTTTCAAGTATTTAAATCATGCAAAACCACATGTCCGGGTGGTAACAGGACGAAATCAGGTGATTTCCAAGCTTTGTGATTTTTTTATTCATTTGTCTTTTTCATGACTTTTTATTCCCGGAAAGTTTCTTTCTAAAAAAATACACTACAAACATACGTCATGTCCAATCGATAGCTACACTTCCTGATTGTTCCAGAGTTTTCGGTCACCGGTCTTTGACCTGAGTTTCGGTGGTGACTCAACGCCATGTTTAGTTTCCTCTAAGGTGTGGCTCTTCTGTGAAACAGGTGTTCGGGGAGTGAGCTCCATCCTAGCGCGTAGCTCCCTCGTCTTTCCGGCTCCTCTCCGGCGTTGTTGCTCTCCCCCTTCTCTCCGCACATTATCATTTATTTGTTGCAGTTCAGTAGAGTAAAAATGGAGTGGAGACGAGCTCCAAATTGAACATGGAGGGAGTTGCGGCTGAAACTTGATGACAAATTGTTTCAATCCAAGGTGCTAGGTCATCGGCAGTATCACTGAGATATGTGTTTATGTGTGTGGGTGGGAGGACGTGAATGTAAATGAGTAACTATTACTTTAAAGTGACTCGGCCACTCCTGCTATATTAATAATTCAGGTGTTTTCCGCTCCTGAGCTCAGGTAGCCCACAGCTACACTGGTAAAACCCTACTGTTAGAATTTTAGAAATATTTCTGAGTTAAAATGAAATTCGTTTTCTTAATCCTGACCAAATTTTAAAACATACTTACAAAATTTGGTGAATTATAATTATTTCTGATCTACATATAGTGAAATTAAACTAGTTTCTTATGACTATTCTGTTGCATATTGACTAAAACCTTAAAATCAGAAGGAAAAATGTACAAAATATCCACCCGGTGAACATGCATCAATACTTGATTAATCCTGAAGGGAAGCTTGATATTGTGGTAGCTCTCATTATCCAAGTTTCTTCAAAGAGGCATTGCAGATGGTTGGAGCTTTAGGCAGGAAGGATGTCTTGTAGCGGTTTGGTTTACAGCAGATCTGTTTGAAGATACTTTGTTGTTGTGTTGCTGTGTTGCGAGGACGATTCTCTGGATCATCAAATATTTTTTTCCAATGTTACAAAACATTCTTTTGTTTAGGTTATTAAATATTTATCCGTCTAGGATCATCTTGCTTAATATTCAAAACCTGCAGCTCAGATTTGTTGTTGGTGTGTGCAAACAAGTTTGATTGCAGAAGATGCACTCCAATATGGGCGCCTCTGCTAGGCCCTTTGTTTCAAGAAGTAATCAAGGTAAAAAATAACACTTTGACTGAAATTAAATATTTACATTTTCATCACTACCAAGATGAGATGTAAATAATTTTCAGTCACTGCAAAGATGTAATAATCTTATGGCAACAATTGCCTTACCTTGCTAACATGTTTGATATTAGCATTAGTTCCGTTGCTAACTAATTAAAGCTGGTTTCAAACCATTTACAACTTGGCTCTGGTCATCAGGGAAAATGTTAAATTTCCTCTTTGTTGAAACGCATTTAAAGTTCCTTAGCAGCTACTACCAAAGTTAAGAAGCTAGCAAGCTAGCAACCTTAGCACCACCAGTAAACCAGTTGAAACTGGAAGCCAGCCTACATTCTTGCCCAAACACAGACACTGTTACCAACTTCTCAGCAAGGACAGTAGCTGTTAGCGGTGCTAAAAATGGCTACAAGTTACTACATGACTTAATCGCTGAATCTGCATATTTGGTCATGTCAATTCCAGGCAGTAAAAGAATATAAACGTTTATTTGTAGCTGTTTAGAGCTACAGATGGACTTTGACACAATAATCCAAAGAGTTTGCCTGAACCTACGTTACATAAATCAGCTGTCGGAGTGGCCATCTATAAGTATTTTTGAGATTGGAGGGGTTGATGCCAACACTCACATCTGCCTGTAAATAACAGTGCAATTGTTATCTTCATGTAACCTCCAATAACACAGGAAAAGTTGCTAGATCTCTCACTAGTATCTGTTTTGGAAAAAAAAAGTAATTGAAGGTGTCTGAAAAGTCAATAAATATCACGAGAAAGGCACTAAGTTGTTTGCAGTGAATCTTGAAACGTATTTTTCTCAAGGATATTTTGGCACTTGGCAAAAATCCTTAGATGTGCCAACTGGTTTGGAACGTGGACTGATGCAACACAAACTATATACTAAATGTACGTAGTTATTCATAATACAATCTATATAAATGCCATCGAATATGTAAAATTTACATAAAAACTTTTAGGGTTTAATGTTTGAATTCAACCATTATTGAGCATTAAATTAGCAGCCTAGTATGAAATTGTTATCTAAATAATTAATGGGTAATATTTACTACTCTCTAAGATTCTGTTGTATAGTGTACAGGTGCCACAGTTCCCTTTCCTAATAAAAAAGTAAGGGTGGTTTTGTGGGGTGGTATTCCTGGTATGTAGTTTCATTAGCATATTTGTGTGTGGCATTAAACCAGTTCATCCTTTTTTTCTTTGCTTTGCTAGGCCATCTATTTGTTTTGTGATGTAATTGGGGCAAGAATGTAGGACTGGATCTCACATCCTGGCACAGCTACTGAGATTTTTCTGTTTCGGGGTAGACTGCCGTGTGGTTGATTAAGGGTGTTGTTTTTTTAATCAGGATTCATGGGCACCATGACTTTTTATTTTTATTTATTTAGGTATTCGTGCTGCGGACCTGCTTGGTCCAATTTCATTTAACAACTCATGAAGTGCTCTTAGAGGAAGGGAGAAAAATGGGGAAATACGACACAAAAGGTTTTACATATTTATGAGCACGGAAGAATGCTAGGCTCTGCTGGGACTGCTTTTAGTTTCTTTTTTTTTTACCCACCGAAAATATTTCATTGTTTCTATTTGAACCTCTTTCCTCCTTTTATATTTTATAGTGAAGTTATGCAACTTAAATTGCAACAACTGTGGAAATAAGAAAAAAAAACAAAAAAAAACTTTCCACTAGCCTACGTTGCATTTTTTTCTTTTCCCTTTTCTGCTCAGGCTTTTACAGTAACCACTTACTTCCACCTTCAATCTGCAAGCGAGGGAAGTTATTTAATCAAGTTTGTGGTTTAATATTGCTCAGATTCTAATGAAAAATTCAATATGGAGTTTATAGGTTTTTAATTAAGGTTGGCTTCTGTAATATTTCTGTTTATATGAATGTGGGAAGTATACTTTAATCAAATCAGGCAGGTGGGCTTCCACTTTAAGCTCTGAAATTACTGTGCAATGCCCACTGCCTCCCCCTTACTCCCGAACATTTGGAGGAATCATAGATGTGGGTCAGAAAAGCTTGCCCCATTACCATGGCGATGTTTTTATTGGAAGAAGGGTGGGCTTGTGGGTGACGCCATGGTGGCATTGTCTTTATGGCTGAGTAAGCTGAATGTGTGCAGGGGGGGATGGCTGGATGGTATGTCGAGCTGCCTGAGAAACCGACGGGCATGCCGGGGGTGGAGTGTTTTATTTTCTATTTTTTTTATTCATGATAATTATTTTTTTTTTACATTGCGTACCTGCTGCAGAGCGCCCTCATATGCAGGCTGGCTCCTAATGACTCCTCATCAGTTTCGAGGAAACAGGTGGGTTTTCTGCCCCCCTGTTGCGCTGCTTTTTGTTGCAGAGGCCGAGTTTGTGGATTGGCTGAAAAACTCTACAGGCAGAAACTGATTAAGACAGGAGACCCCCACCCGCCTCTTCAAGCCACCCTCTCTCTCCCGCCAAACCCGCTCACCCCTTCCCCCCGCCGCTGCCGTCGAGCACATAGGGGCCTTGTTCTCGTCTTCTCTCCCGCCTCTTTATCTTCGGTCCTTTCCTGTCCAGTGCTTTTGTCTGAGAGACGGTAGACATTGGGTCATTCAAACAGCCCACCCGGCCCCTCCCTGCTCTTCTCTCTGGACTCGAGGCTGGCCTGTTTATGACGGGAACAACGCACACCGCAGACAGGCAGGAAAAATAAACCACACGTGACCTCGCCCTGCTCTTGGATTTATTGTCCTTGCTCAAATGTTTAGTTGTTCTTCCATCGAAAAATCAAACCCACCGATATTGTATTTATAAGTGATCTGGATTTCCAAGCATTTCAAGGTATTTCAGCATAACCTGCCCTCCCACACACACACGCGCATACACACACTCCATTTCTTTTGGCACACATTTGCGTGCAATAGCTCAAACTATTAGATCTAACTACTTCCCTCTACATGGTGAGAACAGTGCAGTCCTGCCAAGACTAGGACCATTCATCATCACAGCAGAGAAGGAGCACTGTACTCTGTCCATTAAGAGGAATCTAATTGATGGATCACGAAAGGAGCTTATTTTTCTTTTGCCTGCTTTAAAAAAAAGTCCTTAGTGTCTCATTAGTCCCGGAAGGGGTCTTGGTTTGGTTTTTAGCGTTAATGGCTGTCACGTTTCAGTCCTATCATTATGGAAATGAGCCGTCCGATTCCTCTCTGCACAGGGTCTGTAAATGTCAGAAGGATTCTGAAAAGGTCGGGAGTGTGTGTCCAAACGTGTGTTACAAGAGAGGCTCGTTCTGGACGCAACAGCCCCCACTACACGCACGTGCAGGTATTAAAGGAGTTTTACTGTTAAAATGACACTTCAGTGACCTTCTGCTTCGTCGTATGGCCACGATTAAGAGTCTGTTGATTCAGAGATGAAAGGTGTGGGAGTTTATGGTTTAATGGAGAGATGAGTGAGCTTTTGTTCAGCGTCAATCTGTGAGGGAAGCTCATTGGAAAACTCTGGAAAAAAACCAACTAATATTTACTTAAGTGAACCTTAAACGACTCCCGGTGAATATGGAATAGCTGAACTTTGAGGAAATATTGAGCAGACAGTGTTTTGGATGGTCTCCACGTATTTAATTCAAAAAATTAAATCAACTTACTGTCACCACTTTACACACAAATGCCTCCT